TTCTTTCTTTCGCTTTCTTTCTTGCTTTCTTTCGCTTTCTTGCTTTCTTGCATTCTTTCTTTCGCTTTCTTTCTTGCTTTCTTTCGCTTTCTTGCTTTCTTGCATTCTTTCTTTCGCTTGCTTTCGCTTGCTTGCTTTCGCTTGCTTGCTTTCGCTTGCTTGCTTGCTTTCTTTCTTTCTTTCTTTCTTTCTTTCACCCATGCATTTGGTCGGAGTCCTCATCAAAGGCAGAATACAGAAAATACAGAAAAAAATAAAATAATTCCCTAGAGTGGAAAGGAAAATGCTGAGAAGCTGCTGAGTGTCCAAAGGCCACTCCGCATGATGCTGAAAATCGAACGTGAAACTCATCCCTACAGAGAGGAGGGAACCTTACCAAAGGATCAAATATAAATGCTTGTCCTTACCTGCAGGGGTGTCCTTGCCAAAGAACCAATACGAATGCCCATCCCTATGGGGAGGGGATCCTTACCCTCCCTCTGGAATCCACACGATTCCTTCTTTCACCACATGCTTCCTGGCAGCTGCCGGGAAGTACACATGCACCTGGAATTCCCATTTAATTGTAGAAAATGAACAAATACCAGCACTCTGATCAGTAAAAAGGGTGAAAACCTAATGACATTCCAGCCCAAAGCTTCCACCAGGCCGTCCACCCGGTCTCTAATCCTTATAGACCAGCAAAGCTTTGCAGAACAGGGGTAGGTCTGACCTGGGGACGGATCAGCACCTAGTCATTCAAGATTAAAAAGAGGACCAGCAACACTGACTAACCCCCATGGTTATTTCCAGATACCATAGATATTTCCAAAATACCTGCTGAGAACAGTAGTTAAAGAACCAATTTTTTAAGACTGCAATTCAGCGAGATCAGCTGCCATTACTGTAACTCTTGTAGTGAAGCCGGCAATACACTCAAGAGTCAAGGGCACTCATGGGTCAATATCTCATTAAGGCTTTTGAACTGAAAATATATATTTATTTTAAAATCCTTTCATAAGCAATTACTCTCTGGTTTGAGGAAGTTTTGGATCCACAATGATTTCTCCGTGCACCTTTGAGGAAGTTGCCACCTAAGAAACCTCTACTCGTTTCAAAAATATTACTCTCTGAAGGCAGCCCTTGGGACTTGGCTTGAAATGCAAGCAGGTGGTTTTGAACTATGAATTGGAAACCAGAGCAGCTTAAGGGAGTTTGGTACAGAACTCGGAGGATTTTGTTTCTTTCTTTTTCTTTTTTCCTTTTTGTTTTTAATGAGCAAAGTTGGAAGAAGTAGGTGAATATCTCTGACTTATCTGTTGACTGAATTAACTTTGAATTCCAACTAGAACAGGCCCTTGTGTGGTATTGATATCCAGAATAGACTTGAAACAGGCTAAAATATAAAACTTTTCAAAAAAAAAATCACAAAAGGCCATATTTTCCAAAACTGATTTCTCTTTTTATACCAGGACAGGTAGCCACTCTCTTGGTAATTTAGATATTTAAGTATGTCATGAGGAAGCTGTTAGGCCCACGTAACACAAGAAATACTGAAAGCAGCTACACACTCAAGGAGGTCTGTTCACAATTGCCCTAATTTCTATTATAGGCAAGCAGGGGTAGCCTTTTTTTTTTTTTTTGAACAATCTTGATCTTTATGAATCCCATTTCAAATTTTCATTTTTGACATTTTTGGTGCTTATTCTTCAAGTTATTTGCATGGAAGCTCTAAAGAGGAGAATCATCTCAGCTCTGCAATCAGAAATCCATGTTGGTGTTTCTAAATGTGCAACTTCATTTACT